GCTGGATAGTATTGAATTTGTTACGATAGCTGTTTTCTGAAGCTGATTGTTAGTGGATAATTTAAGGCTTGAGGTTTTATTTGACAGAAAGGTAAATTTCTTTGAGACTCCTTTTCCTGCGAATGAAGCGATGGTTTCCGATAAACTCGTTAATTACTTGTAAACGACAGTGGAATAATCGGTTCGTCGCTGTTTATGATTGCAGGATGAGTTCCATCCATTCATTGAGGCCCTCCTACCATTCGTGAAGTCTTTCTCGTACACGTGGTTCAACCTACAAGCCGCCAAGAGGCGTTACTACAAGAAACACGAGAAGCGGATGAGTCTCGAAGAGGAACGTCAGTGCAAGGAGGAACTCCAGGTGAGTAATGTCACTAATAATATCTTCCCCGAAATTTATTACCTCTGTGCAACTCGACTTCCAAAAATTGCCTCGAAACGAGTCATCGATTCGTAGATTAATCGACGAACGGTTCGAAAGGGATATTTCAATAAGTGGAACAAAGTAATCGTTTTTCAGGGATAAATAGATTTACTAATTTACAGGACGATTGATTGATTTCTAGAATATTTAACAGTTGAATTGTTGGACAGTTTTTCAATGCTATGTAATATCAGTAACACGTAATTCTATGTAATAGATGTCTTATTGATCGATACACGGTAAAAAGAGGCGGTTCGAGTCGCGATAGGCGGTGCTCGATAAAAGTTCCGCGTCGATTCATCAGTGCCGATGGAATAAAATGCCAGAACAGTTGCACGAAGGTCTGGCGTGGGTGTGACCGCTAATTTCATAAGTTCCGAATAAAAATAATGAGGTTTCGGACTATTTCGGGCGCGAAGCGTCCTCGTGACGCGCTATCGCTCAGACCTGAAAGCCCAGTAGTTTCTCGATCGTCCTATAACGACCGGTCCTGTATTAATAGAACAATCCGAGCAACACAGGGGACATTAATGAGGCTCAAGGAAGTTTGAAAAATCGATGGGCAGCCGTTCCGTACTTCGCCTACCAATTTTGGGACCGGGAAACTTGAGATTCTCTTGGGAATTCTTTTATTTCTGAATATTCGATCCGGTTTTGTCTCTTGTAGAAATAATCGTTTAACACTAAAACTACCGAGCAGTTCAATTAACTTTTTGAAACTCTTGTATAGAAGCTTGAAGAGTGCATCTGTCGTGACAACTGATTTATACTTCAGTTTGCGTGTTGCTAACTCGATGTTCTCAATAATTTCCCAGGGAAACGTCTCTTGGCTTTTTAATAATTGCAAAATGAAGCAATCAAGAATAGGTCGGTTCGACTCGGTAGTCTCAGTGTCAGCACGTTGCAAATGACGGCAATGACCTATATTCTTAGTATTATAAATAAAACGCTACAGTACTTTTATTCTGAAAGTATGAAGCCTTGAACTCCCCAAGAATCATCTAATTAAAAACAATTGCTTTTGCTCCATTACTGATTTCAACGTGAACGTGTCAACTATTACAAATCTATAAAAAAACCAAGAATGATTTCCTAGAGAATTCATTGACTATTAGATTGCACATCAATATGCGAACGTAAATGTTTCCGTAGAAGTTTACAAATATTCGAATCGAAGAGAAACTGCCGTTTCCAGATTTTATATTCAATTATTATTAAATATATCCTTCTCTTGAAGTTTCCCGCGCGTTTTCGTTGGATTCATTGTGTTCGGGAAAGTTCCGTCGACTTATTCGTGGACGCGTAATTCGAAAAATCTCCGGTGTAAATCTGTGTGTCTCGGTTCAAGTTGCCGCGAAAGTACGAGGCCAGTTTCAATATTTAAAGCGACGTAACTGCGTCGACAGGACAGAGAGCAAACACTTTATTTAATTAAAGCGTAAATCGAGCGACGTCCGACGGTAAGACCGGAAGCCCGCGCGGCCCACGGCACGCCGCGGAAAGTTTTTCCGGGAGTTTTAATCGCGGGGATAAGTCCGCGTCGGATTTTACGGGGAAGTTACTCGCGGCCGAAGTTTCGATTACACTCGACCGCGACTGTTTTCTTAGTCCCGCGACTTCCGGTGTCCGCGGAGGAACGTTGCTTCCTCCTCTCGACGACGATTTGTATTAACCCTTTGCACTCGAAAGTTTTTCGCTAGAAATATTCGATATTCTCCGTCGAGATACGGACGATGTTCTCTTTAATTAATTAATGAGGAAACATATAAATTAACCCTCTGTAGACTCATGTAACTTTGAAGTTATATATCAGTATATTGGCATCTTGATTTATTTCATTTTGCACTCGAAGTGTTGAATAAAATTAAGTAATCAGTTAACTTAAACTTTTATACGCTCAGGCATGAAAGTTTGTCATTGTAACTTGAAAGTTACAAAATATATTCGTTTGATGAAATTGAAACTATTGAATACATTGTTAATTCGTATTTATATGTGGATATCTATTAATTTTGTACTGCATTGATTTTGTTATAACAATGAACAAAAATTCGGCCCATAAAGGGTTAAGGAGGATAGTTATTTTATTTCAATATTCCACGTATTGATGCATCGTGCAAAGCTTAATATTATACATAAGATTTAATAATTTTGCAAATCAAATTAAGTGGTGACTTGATTTAATTTAACAAGGGTTAACCCTTTGAACTCTGTAGGCTTAATTAATTAATAAAGGAGTAATTATTGCTATGTTATTTGTTTGGAAATTGTTAAGATGAGAAAGAAATTGTTTTGATTTAGAACACATTAGGAAGGTGATTTGAGGATTTGAAAGAAGAGGGTACATTAAACGTGATTGCGTGACAAATGATCATTCGATTGTGTTGCGTAGAGTTAATTTCACGATTAATCATTCTTCGTCGATATCAGTTTTCCACGTGCTAAGAGGAAACTAACACTCATCAACTCTTTCACGCTCGCCCTATTCGCTCTCCTTTGAAACTATTCCATCCCGCCATTTTGTTTGACGAAATTTATAGTTTCCGCGCACTCGGTGTTCATGCCGTGATGAATTTACGACTCTATGGACTCCAGTTTTTCGGGGAAAAATTGAATCTCCCGACGGTGATGGACCTGAATCCCTGATCAAAGGGAATATCGATTTTTCACGTGATGGGATTCCTCGGCAATAGGTTCCTCTCGCGACAGAACGTCCTCGGCGAAGTCAATTCTTACCCAACTGAAATCCAGCCATATTACCATAACCGTACTATATACCTTAAAAATCAAAAACCCCGTTCCCATAAAATAATCACACTAACCCTTAAAAAAAACCCACCCCAAACCCAAGTAAATCACACACAAACCTCAACATACAATCCAAACTACAAAACTCTAACTATAAAAGACCCTTAAAACCTGATATCAAGAAAATCAGTTAAATCAACAAAATCCCTCCGGAGGCCCGAAACCGAACTCACCCCCGCGAGCGGCGACCCTCTCGGGGCGATTGTCCGGTACCGTTTCAACGGGAGCAAAAAATCCGGCAGAGGGAAAAAAGAAAGGAAACGGTGGACAAGGTGAATAAAAGTCGACGAACTTTCGATATCGAACTAAGTTTGGCGCTCGGTTCGACGAGTCATTGACATTCGAATTTTCGGCTGGACCGCAATCTTTTTTTCTTCCCTTTTCCTCTCCCTCTCTCTCTCTCTCTTTTCCTCTCTTCCTTTTTTTTAGCCCCATCGCCGGCACCAGCGGCGCCCCCTCCACCGCGGGGGTTCGTCGGTTCGCCGGAAACATGCAGAAAGGGGGCGACGGCGGCGGAGAAAGGGGGTGAAAGGGGGTCGGGCGGAGTGTTCTCTTCTATCCACCGCAATTCGTATTCTCCCTCGCGACGCTGTTCGATCAATATTTTAATTTCGCGATGCTGCGGTATTTAGCGGACGAAAAGAGAGAACGGTCGGACGGACGGACGGGCGGACGGAGTGGACCCGATGGTAACCGTGAAAGGATTCCTTCCAGGATCGATATATCGCGGTGTTTAGGGAAAATCGTCGACCACCGGATGCTCCTCTTTTTTTTTCTATCCCGCTCTTCACTCGCCGGA